GGTAAGAAGCAAGGCAGAGAAGTCTGTAAGCAGAGGAAGAGGAAGCTGAGGGAGCTCATGCCTTTTTTTCCTGTGAGGCAGTAGGTAAGGTTTAATGCCAAGCTGGGGCAGAGGGAGGCTTGAGTAAAGTGGTCATGATTTTAGAAAAGCCACGGTGGAGAACGGGGGAGGAAACTGAGCAGAATCGTTTCAACAGACACCAAAGACAGACTCAGGGGAGACCTAAGACCACACGTTAATTGTGGCACTAATCCCCAGCACTATGCGAGGTTTATCCAGGACAGAAAGTAAAAATAGAGGGTATGGATGGTAGGAATGATGGAAGGCTGGCATCTGCATAGTGGGTTTTGCCAAAAAAGAAAGAATTAAAAACTGCAAACGCAGGGCTGGTCCAGTGGCAAAGCAGTTAAGTTCGCACATTGCGCTTCTCAGCGGCCCAGGGTTCGCCAGTTTGGATCCCAGGAGCAGTCATGGCACAGCTTGGCAAAAGCCACACTGTGGTGGGCATCCCATATATAAAGTAGAGGAAGATGGGCATGGATGTTAGCTCAGGGCCCGTCTTTCTCAGCAAAAAGAGGAGGATTGGCAGCAGTTAGCTCAGGGCTAAACTTCCTCAAAAAAAAAAAAAAAAAAAAAACTGCAAATGCTAGTAAGAAAATAGCTGAGGGTTGGGGTCGGCCCCGTGGCACAGTGGTTAAGTTCGCACATTCCACTTCAGCAGCCCAAGGTTCACCAGTTCAGATCCCAGGTGCGGACCTACACACGGCTTGTCAAGCCATGATGTGGTAGGCATGCCCACATAAAATAGAGGAAGACGGGCACAGATGTTAGCTCAGGGCCAATCTTCCTCACCAAAAAAAAAAAAAAAAAAAGTGAAGGATTGGCAGCAGATGTTAGCTCAGGGCTAGTCTTCCTCAAAAAAAATTAAATAAATAAATAAATAAATAAATAAAGTCCTTAAAAAAAAAAGATCTGAAGGTGAATTTGAGATTTGAAGATAGATCTGAAGGTGATGACATGTTAGCTGTGGCCACAATACTGAGTTACCAAAACAGAATAAAGCCAACATTTACTTGAGCTGAAGTCAAAGAATTTTAGGGGTAAGGGCTGTTACAAAGGAAGTTCAGCAGAGTGATTACTTTACTAGTTCTAGTGACCTCGGGGAAGTCACTCAGCCTCTGTCTCAGTTTCTTCATCTATAAAATGGAGATAATAGTATCTGTTTTATAAGGATTGCTGTTATAAGGTTCTCATAAGGATTAAATTAGTGAATAAATGTAAACTGCTTAGAAAAGAGCCTGACACAGAGCTCAATATAAGCACACTATTTTATCATCGTTGTTCTTGTTTACAGTCATTGACATCCACCAGGATGATGTCAGAAATCTGGATGGAAAGGAGAACTAAGCCAAGTATCAAAATCATCAAACAGAACAACGCTAAAAGATGGTATAGTTAAATGATAAGCTTTGGTGTAAAGAATATGATATTAAACAAAAAATATTTTAAAATCCATCAGACATTTATAATCTTGTGATTAAAAATATCTACAAATAACCACAAAACAATCATAAAAGTACCAATTGAATTATTAGATAGTAAGTATTATATGGCAATACAAAGGGGAAAAAGACTGACTAAAAATCACGGAAACCACTATGGTGGTACACTAAATTGTATTAAAACAGGAAGGAGGGGCTGGACTGGTGGCATAGTGGTTAAGTTTGCATGCGCTGCTTCAGCAGCCCAGGGTTCACAGGTTCACATCCCGGGTATGGACATATGGACCATCCATTGAGCCATGCTGTGGCAGTGTCCCACATACAGAATAGAGAAAGATTGGCAATGATGTTCGCTCAGGGCCAATCTTCCTTACCAAAAAAACAAAAAAACCAACAACCAGAAAAGAGCCGAAGTTAACCTTATCTTAGCATATCTATACATAAATGGCAAAGCATAAGCTCCTTGAGAGTAAAGAACTACATCTCTATATGCACTCTCAATTAACTGGTAATGAATGTCGTAAAAGTGAGCACACATGAATCACTGGGCCATTAAGCAAAAAGTCCAACTCAGAGAAAAGTCCAAGGCACCTTTTGCAGGTTTTCCCTATCACCTATCACAGTCACATGTGTTTCATTTGTCTTCTACAGGGATGAGTGGCATGGAAAAACAGTTCTAGAACTATGTGTGTGTATATATGTATTTTTTTTAATTGAATCTTTATTTTACTTATTTGGTTACTTGTCTTTCTCTACATTCCAGACTATATGCTTTTGTTTTTTTCTTTTTGTGAGGAAGTTTGGCCCTGAGCTAACATCTATGCCCATCTTCCTCTATTTTATGTGGGATGCCGCCACAGCATGGCTTGACAAGCAGTGCTAGGTTCATGCCCAGGATCTGACCTGCAAACCCCAGGCCGCGGAAGCTGAGCATATGAACTTAACCACTGCGCCACCAGGCCAGCCCCAAAACTATGTATACTTATACACACTCTTATATGGACTCCAGAAATTCACCAATATCTGTTCCAACAAGGCCATCTTTCAAAGAGATCTATACAAAGCAGACAAGCTATATACCTTTCAGTTCAGAGCCCTGTGAAATTATACCATATTAGTTTACAAGACCAAAGAGAGATGCTCATGCATGGAAAAGACCTGCTGTGATTAGCAGCCTGGGAAGGGGTTTACAAACAAGAAGGCAGGGAGCCCACTGCTGCCCTTTACTCTGTACCCAGGACAAGACCAGAGCAGGGGACCGGGCTAGAAAGCTTCACCTTGGAGAGTCTGTTGGCACATTTCTCAGGAGTTTATTCCCTGCACAAATTCCAAATGGGAAAGAGGAAAGAAAGAAAAAAGGAAAACTGCATTCATATCCGGTCTTGAAAAGGAAAAACAGTCTGTTCTAAGCCTTAGAAGCTGTACCTAATTGGACACATTTTGGAAAAACATTCATCAGAGCAGAGCTGCACAGATTCATAAAATCTTGCCTCCAAATCAGATTCACAATCAGGTCTGATTTTACCAAATGCTGAAACTATATTCAACCACAACTCTTCAGATCTTTTTACTAATAGAGTAACAGTAAAAATTTTAAACCTAGAAATATTTCTTAACTGGGGCATGGAATTTTAAAGCAGACATTCTGTATTTCTCTCACATTAATGTAACACAAAAAACACCAGCTTCTGTTGAAGCCAGTTTTCATTAAACAAGTTTTAAAAGGAAAGCTTAATTATAAAAATTTTAAAAGTGCTACGATTTTTCTTAGAAAACCTTATCTGAAAATTTTTAAGCACTTCAACTTAAGAAGTTACAGGAATTTATCAAGAAATGGAGTTTGAATGAAAGCAAAGAGCACAAAGAGGGTGGGCAAGCCACTCTCCAGGTCCTGTCCACATCCAGGATGTAGCAAGAGACAGATTTACAGGCTCAGGCTGAATGCAGTTATTAACCATTTCCAGATCTGCTTTACGATGCCAACATGTGCGCAATCTACATATTCCATCCTTAAAGCAGACATTACCAAGTCCACCTGCCTCCTAATTCAGCAACCACATCAAGTCAACTAGAAGGCATCACTCACTTCTCAGAGGGCAACACGAGCTAAGATTTTATTATGACTAAGCTCAGCTGACAAAATGCCAGCGTTTAAATAAAATATCCACCATGATATCACTTCTCAAGAGCTAGCCCAATCCAGTCACCTTACTTTCCTTGGGCTCAGATACATCTGTGACACAAGGCAACATGTTCAGCGTCGGCACAACAGCTGCCGAGGACAGTGAGGGAGACGTGAGCGAGGGATCCGCTGACAATCTAATTTCAGCTACCTCGAGATTCCACAAAGATGACAACCCGCGTCCTCAGAATTACTGCCGCCAGCCCCTGCCGCTATCCTAAGACTCCGACTTTACTGCATCTCTGCACGCTGCGCTACTTTGAAAACCTATCCATCCAGTGCAATACACTAACTCGAGGCCTCCGTACTGGGCAACCTGGCTTCAGCGGTCCTCCATCTGCCTCTGTACGTGTGAGGCATCACCAGGCATCCCGTGTCCACAGCACGGGCCACCGAACAGAAATACCGAAACACAGCATTTCACCCCAACGAGAAGGGGATCTTGAAGTCACTCTACCTCGGAAGCTCATTTAGCAATTTACCAACGAGAAGAAAGTCATCTGGGAGTTCAGCTCTGGCTGCAGGGCCGGGAATGTTTTGTGTTGCCTGAACAATGACTGGCTTGCTCGAGCAGCCTCCCAACCCCCACAGCTTGGCTTCTGGCGCGGCTAGTCACCCTGAGAGCTGCCAGGGCTGTCACTCGGTGCCTTCCAGAAACCGGACTTGGCTCCTAAAGGATTTGTCAGATCATCCTCCCAATATGGCTGCCAGAGTAATCCCGGGCTGCCGCACGCCTCGACCACAGCAGCCTTCCCCCAGCTGGCCGGCAGCCACCAAGCCCCCTCCCTTTCCGTCGCGCTCCCCTCTCCAGTCCCTGCGCCATCGGCTCCCCCCACCCCCGCCACGCGATGCCCTTTCCCACCGTCCTCCGGCAGAAGGGCACAACCACATTCCCAGCCGAAGCCCCGATGTCAGCCACAACGGGCAGAGGGGACGGGGGAGCAAGAAAGGGTGGCTGCGAACCCGAGCACCGCCGCGGCCACACGCTGCAACGTGCGCAGAGCGCCCCGGGAACGGCCCGACAGCGGCGGGTCTGCTGACCGCCGGGCACGGCCGGAGCCTGGCCGCTCAGGGGAACCGGAGCTGGTGCGGGGCACCGCGGGGGACCCAGCAGGCCGCTGGACCCAAGCCCGGGGCGCGCCGCGCCCCTGCCCCGCCCGGGGCCACAGTCGGGCAGCGCCCTCCGTGCCCGCGGCCCCCGCCCGGCCCGGCGCTTCCTCCGCCGGACCCCGCCCGGACCCCGGCCCGGCCGCCCCTCCCCCGCGGCGGCCCCCTCCCCAGCCCAGCGGCGCCGCGCCGCCCGCCGCCCACCTTACCTCAGCCGCGCTGCGGACCACCGGCCGGCGGGTCGGGTCAGCAGGCGCCGCGGCGCGCGGGGGTGTGGGGGGCCCGGCACCGACGCTCCTCCGCGTGAGCAGCGGCCGCCGCGAGCCGCAGGACGCCGCTCCGCAGTCCCATCACGCAGCGGCCCGGCCCCGCATCGAGGGCCGCGGCGGGCGGAGGGCGCGAGCGCGGGAGGCCGGGGCGCGCCGACGGGCCGGCGATGGCAGCTGCGGCGGGCGGGGAGCAGATCGGACTCGCGCTGGCGCCTCCCAGGACCGTCGCCGTCTGACCGCCCCGCGTCGGTCCTCGCGAAGCTCCTCCCGCAGCCGCCGGCGCCGGACACCGCCCCGAGCCCGGCAGCCGCGCGTCACCTCGGCCCGCCCCGGCGCCCGCGACTGACACGGGCAGCGGCCAATCGGACCGCAGAGTTCGGGGTGGCCGGCCAATCGCAGGGGGAGGCGGAGAGGGGCTGCGGCGAGAAGCTGCGGAGACGCCGGAGCGCCCCCTGGTGGCCTTGAAGCCGGCGAGGGTGCGGGGCGGGCGAAGAGGGCGCCCAGAGGCCCCTCCCGAGTGACCCCCGCAGGGCGTCGGCCGGCAGCAGCAGTGCCTAACCAACCCGATGACCAGCCTTGTAAAGGGACAAAGCTTGGCTAAGTGGGGCGGGGCGGGGCGGGACCGCGGGGGTCCCGACGCCTGCGGAGGAGCTGAGATGAATGTGGAAGGCCACCGAGTGTGGAGTCATTGTCCGTCTGGGAAACATCTCACACGTTGAAACCGCGCGTCACAGCGCGGTCGGAACTGAAACACGCTAAGGGATGAGTATTATCCCTCAGAAAACTGCCAGGCCTATTCTTATCGAGCCCGATCACAACACCTCCTACACGCCACCTTGGGAGAAAAGGCGGAATGAGTAATAGAAAAGCATGACTTAGTAGACATTCAACTTGTCTCCTTGGGAGACCGAGTAAGGGCCGTGAGTAGACCAACAAAATGCTTTGTACCGCCCCTGAGTTAATGAGCCGAGCTCTCTCTCTGGGAGATGCCTTTGAAGGAGCGATACTGGAATTCAGAAACCTGAAGAAGACAAGCGCTCAAGCGGCGATTTTTAAAAATCAGATTTAGATTCAGCTAAAAAAAAAAAAAGCCCACAAGTGTTCATGAGCGGTCCGTTTCAGTACTTAGTAAAACAGAATATTCAACTGTAACATGTGCAATTGTCATGCCAAGCACCATTATTTCATAAGGTTGGGAAATGATTTTTCTATATACTAGCAAGAATTGAAAGTAAAATCATATTTTCCCCCCTGATTTCAATATGTACAGTATTGGGTGTAAAAAGCCTTACTTATAAGCATAGACACTAGAACATCAAAATTAATTTTCTACACTAATGATTTTCCAAAATCTCCACCCCGACTAAAGTCCTCATACTCTCCATTCAGTCAACATTTATTGAACATTTCTCATTTTATTTAGAATTTAAACTCCACCTACCTGCAAAAGGATTTGACATAGCTTACACTGAAGCAAACAAGCAAAAGTGTATAGCATTTAAAAAAGAGTAAAATTAATAACAATAAAAAATGTGATAAAAGACTATATGGGGAGGGGGCTGTGTGAACAAGGGGAGCACACAGAGAGAAAAGCAATGTTAAGAAACAGAATCAAGGGAATGTGCTACCATTGAGTGCAAAACTCAGCTCTTAGCTTCCTGAAGGCCGAGACAAAAATGAAACTACAATGGTTATTAAACAGAAGCTCAATTCATCAGCAGACACCAACTTTTTCCTAGGTGGGAGCTCTTTGTGGAAGTACTATGATAAGCACCATGGAGAGTTACAAACACCTGGATAGTAGTTAATATTGTTTGAACTGTCAATGCAGCTGAAAGGAAAAGGATCTAAAACAGTGAAAGGAATGTGGTGGCAATTGGCTCTAGGCAAATTAAGCAAAGGCACACAGAGAAAGGTCAATAGAGGCAGATAAGGCTCTTCAAGCTTTCAAGGCCAAACTAGCTGGCGCCAGATAAGCCTTTTGCCCCTCTGACAGATGGTCACTCTGCAATGCCATTTAGTTATTCACATTACAGATTTTATACAAAGCCATCTCTTAAAAATTGTAAAGTGGGGCCGGCCCCATAGCCACGTGGTTAAGTTCGTGCCCTCCGCTTCTGTGGCCCAGGGTTTAGCGGGTTAGCATCCTAGGCGCAAACATAGCACCACTCATCAGGCCATGCTGAAGTGGCATCCCACATGCCACAACTAGAAGGACCCACAAATAAGAATATACAACTATGTACTGGGCGATTTGGGGGAGAAAAGGGAAAGAAATAAGATCTTTAAAAAAAAATTGTGAAGTAGAGGCCAGCCGGGTGGCGCAGCGGTTAAGTTTGCAGGTTCTGCTTCCGCAGCCCAGGTTTCGCCTGTGGGGACCTACACGCCGCTTGTCAAGCCATGCTGTGGCAGGCGTGCCACATATACAGTAGAGGAAGATGGGTACGCATGTTAGCTCAGGGCCAGTCTTCCTCAGCAAAAAGAGGAGGGTTGGTGGCAGATGTTAGCTCAGGGCTAATCTTACTCAAAAAAATAAATAAATAAAATAGAAAAAAATTGTAAAGTAGTCGAATATTGAATTTAGCCATGGCCAGGTAGAGTTACCCCTGGAATGCAAGGAAAGAACATCAAAAGATTTATTAATGTGATGCAAACAGCCACACTACTACAACTGATAAGGTTTCAGGATACAAAATCAGTATACAAAAATCCAAAGTGTTCCTTTTTGTTAGGAATAGCCCATAAAAAAAGTGAATTAAAAATATCCTATTAAAAATAGCAAGAAAACAATTAAACATTTAAGGATACATTGACAAAAGATGAGAAAGACCCATAAGGAAAAAATTATACAACTGTATTGATGAAACACATTAAAGAAGATCTAAATAGATGGAAAAGTATTCTTTATTTTTGGACAGGAAGAAAACATTACAAAGATGTCAATTCTTTCCAAGTTAATCCACAAACTTAATGTAATTTCCTTTTTTTCCGTCCTCCCCAAAGCCCCAGTACATAGCTGTATATCCTAGTTGTAGATCATTCTAATTCTTCTATGTGGGATGCTGCCACAGCATGGTTTGACAAGCGGTGTGTAGGTCCACATCCAGGATCCCAACTGGCGAACCCTAGGCCACTAAAGTGGAGGTGAACTTAACCACTCAGCCACCAGCCAGTCCCCGCAACTTAATGTAATTTCAGTGAATCTTTCAACATGATTTTCATGGGATTTGACAAGATGATGGTAAAATTCAAATGACAAATCCATTCCATGTCCATTTAAAAAAAAATGCATATGCTAGAACACAGCCAAGAATACCCACAGCAATTTTGAAGAATGAGGTGTGAGGACGCACCCGTAAGTTAACAAGATTTTCTGTAACATGATACTAATTAGAATTCTGTTACATTGGCACAAGAATATACAATACAGAAATGGAACAGAATAGAGACCACATGCGTATGGGAATATAACACATGGCAGCATTGGCATTACAAATCAGTGGGGAAATGATAAACTACAAATGATAATAAATGACACTGGAATGATTACTTAAGTGTATGGTGAAAAATGTGATCCTTACATCACACTATAAAAAAAATAAATTTCAGGTAGATTGAAAACCTAAATGAGAAAAGTAAAGCTTTAAATATTTTAGTAAGAAGTATAAAATATTTTTATGACCTTGAGATGAAAAATATCGTAAACAAGGGGGAAAAAAGCACTAACTACAAAAGACTGATGAATTTTACTATAGTTTTTTAAAAAACACTTCTAGGGCCTGCCAGGTGGCGTAGTGGTTAAGTTCATGTTCACTGTGGTTATCCAGATGTTTCAAGGCTCAAAGAGAAAAAAGGAGAAGGGATGATAACTCAGAGACTAGAAACTTCAGGAAGGTGCCATACGCCTACCATTGGGGAGAAAGAATGAGGAAGGGGTCTTACCAAAGCTGGGAGACTGAAAGAGGGGTCCGGGCTGAAGCTGGGGGTGTAGAGAAGAGGTTACTGTGTCAGGAAAAAGCACCAGGAGAAGGGAAAGAGCAAAAGCGGGGGGAAAAAACCAAAAAAATAAAACTATGACTTCTATCCTCATCTCAATACCTCTTACTGGCAGAATTCAGAGGGAAACCAGCTAGCAAAGAAGCTTGAGAAATACAGATGGAAGAAGGGTGGGTATGGGGCTGAGAAACAGTAGGTAAATAGCTAGCACAAAGACTAAATTTCAAAAACATAAAGCTGAACAAAAAAAATAAGCACTGCAGAATAATGTGTGCAGTATAATGCCATTTATACATAAAGTTTGAAAACATGGAGAAGAACACTTCACTGTTTAGGTCGACGTTCATGTATAATGAAGTCCTAAAATATGCATGGGAATGATAATCACCAAATTCAGGATAGAGGCTACTCTAGGAGAGAGAAAAGAAAGGAATTAGGAAGCAAGACACAGGAAACTTCAACTGTATCTGTAATATTTTATTTCTTGAAAAACAGAAGTCAGGAGGATGGAAATGTTGATAGAGTTGGATGGTGGGTACACGGGTGGGTACCACTACATTAGTTTCTTTATTTGACTGCCTGTGAAAAAATATTTCATCACCTGAAAAGAATATTTGTCCGAAGGCATCCCAGCTGTGATCCTACCAGTAATCCTCTGCAGGCTGGGTCAGCAGCTGGATCAGAAGGGCCAGGACTGACCTGCGGCAGCTGGGCTGGGCATGAGGAGCTGAGTGGGCGGGAGATCGTAAGCCATAATCCTCTCTCTGACCTGGTTTTTAGACGCACTGGTCTCACAGCCTGCGTCGTAAGAGGCCACTGCATCTTGGCCAAATGGTTGGCCTTCCTGACTCAGAGTTCATGTCCATTCTAAACTGCTCCAGGCTGCCACTTGCACCGACAAAAATACAGGAAGAGCCCATTTTTATTTCTGGGAGAATTAAGACTGCAGTCCTCTGCAGGAGTATCCATGCCCATAGAGAGAATTATTTCCTGGTTATTTTAATGGAGATCAGGTAACACATGTACCTAAGTCTTGGGTCATGTTGCACGTTTAAAAATAGGAATTGCTTATATTTTTGGACCTAGGAGGCTACTATGTTGAAGCTAGAAAGCATCTGTTTTTTTATACAAAGTCCTTGTAAATATTAATTAGTTAATGTCTATTTGATAAGTTTGTACAGATTGTATTAAACACTGTATTAAATAACAATACAGAGCTCAAGATAAATCAATAAATCTGTTTCTTTCAGTGAATACTTAAACAGAATGCAATTTGGTTTAACGCATTAATATTAACACA